TTCACTTGAGCTTTATGTCAAACGTGGTTCTGTAGGGGAAGCATGAATGTTGGTTGGGCAGAGCTCTGTGGGCAGCATTAGTTGGAACTTTTTCAGTGGAAACTAATGCAGTTGCAAACTCAGCACTGCCCACAAGAGACAGAACATATGTAAGTGTTTATTACACGATTCCATCTGAAGACCCATTTAGGCTGATAGTTTAAAACTCCAACAATTGTACCACAGGCTCTAATAACATTTTGTTCTTCTGTATATCAAGTTCTTCCAAAGTCTGGAAGAAAAAAAAAATGAAGAGAAAGGAATTCTCTTAAGCTACAAGTACTTTTTAAAAAGAGTTACATCATGCTCATACTCAGTGGAAATTTTTTTTTTTTCCCTTAGTTATAGGTATCACCAGGCTACAGAGAGTCCAAAAACACCCATTTTTAGGTGCACCTCTGCTGAATCAACACAAGCTCCCATCAGCCCCTTCAGACTCCTTCCTTCTTGCCTCTCCTTAAAGTGCAGGATGAACATTAGACATTCGCCCATAATGGGATTAACAATTCCTTATTATTGCATAGTGGTCGCACAGGCAGCTGCCTATAAGCAATTGAGTAGCACCACAAATCTAAGCAGCACATACAGGAGGAAAGCAGAAAAGAGTCTGAATTCCCTGTTTCTTCAAGCTATGCCACCTACTTAGATTTCCTCCCTGCCTCAAGCTAGTGAAGCCTGCTAGACTGACAAGACCTCTGAGGTTCATTAATACCAGGTTAACTGGGTGGCCTTCATTTCTCTTCTGCCCTGGGGCTCTGTGGAAACTGTCCCACCACAGTTTCTTACTTCAAATTCTCAAAAGAAATGCTTAGACTCACCATTTCATTACCTCTTTAAACTAAAGTGTTCCTCCTTTAATCTACTCCCTTTTTACATGCCTCCACGAAGTAGGACACATGAAATCTTTTCCCAAAGTTACTTGACTGTGGCTGGTTTGGCTTGAGCACGTTATTCCTTTCTAAGTGCTCTACCACTACTCTTTTGGCTTTCTCTTATTCATGCTTAATATATGCCGGCATGTTTCAAAGAAAGATAGATTTAAGACGCTATTACAGAATCATAGAATCCTTAGAGTTCAAAGAGGCTTTTAAAGGTTATCTAGTCCAAATCCCCTACAATGAGCAGAGACATCCACAGCCAGATCAGGCTGTCCAGAGCATGGTCCAGCCTGAGCTTGAGTGTCTCCAAGGACTGAGTATCCACCACATCTCTTCCAGTGCTTCATCTCCCTCACTGTAAAGGACTTTTTCCCTTATATCCAAAAGCATGAAGTTCATTTATGCTTCATGCATATTATTTGTAGCAAAAAAAAAAAAAAAAACAAAAACAAATTTTTATTCCTCATATGATACTGCTGCAAGTGCTATCAGTGGACATGCTGACCCTGGATTTACCTATTGGAAAGCCATACGCATGTACATACATTAATTTTGTAACTTGGACAGAGCTATCTATCTCTAACTTTTCTTATTGGCTTACACAGAAAAGAAACCCTTGAAGCCAGAGGATAATTGGATTTCTTCACACCTTTTTTTTTTTTTTTTTTAAAACTTACAGGCAGTTTTTGTGTGTGCAAATATATACACATACAGAAGATTATGACTTTAGGACAGGAAAATGAACATCTCTAGCCAAGATAAATGTAAAATCTGGATGGAAAGAAGCAAAATATAGAAAGGACAAAGGCTAGTGCCACTGATATTCAAAATAAAGACGACCTCCGGGAAATGATGACAACTGATAGACAAGCCAAGCTTTCTAGAGGGGAAAACAGGCACTGTGGGGATTCATTTCTCTTGTTATAAGTGCTGACTGGACCTGCAGACAGCTGTGAAGAACGAACCTGAACAAACTACAACTTTTCCCTTCTAGCTCCTCCAGTTTCACATCTGCTTTATACCAGAGCAAGAATTAAAGTATTCTCTGATGAGTTCGTCTTATCAACACCAGAATATCCAGGCAGTTGTTTAAAGAGAGACTCCATCAGACAGGATTCCACATTGGAATCAATCTCTTTATGGTTTTCTCCTACCACTAAGCCCAAATGTGTCTCCTTATACTTTCATCTCTGGCTTCCAGATGATCTTGGTTCTTCCTGAGCAAGAAGCCACTATTAATTCATTCTCAGGCTTGAAACTACAGGCATTGCTTCAAGATTCCCTATAAGCAGGCTGCCTCATATCTTTCAGCAATTTAGGCTCTCAGTTATCAAACTGCTCAGATTTCTATAGTCCTTCAAGACCCATTATTTAGAAAGAAAGCAAGCACAGGTGAGAGTTGAAGTTTGAATCCCTTAAAAGATTATGCTTGCCATGATAAGATGCAGGACTCTTGAAACTATCAATAATTTAAGCACTGGAAGGTAGAATAGAATAAGTCCAAAGAATTCCACGTTTATTCAGCCAATCAAAATATTAACCATTCCTTGCTAAAAAATCCTTTAGATGCCCAACTCCCAGCAAGTTGTGAGATGTTTGCCAGTACTCTGGAAGACTTGATGAAATTCTTTTTTGAGTTTGGTACAAAAAAAATTGTAAAAATTAAAATGTGTCTTTCCTCTTCCAGTTTTGTCAGGTTTCAATACCAGTAAGGTATAGACAGGCAAATCAAAATTTTATCACAACATGTTCAGAGTATGGGAACAAATATCACATTATAAAGTTTCTTTGTGCATCCTTTTGTACAGGCAAAGACAAAACAAGTGAAATAGGAGAGGCTAGGATTGAATATTATACCTAGAACTTTGAATATACATGAATTGCCAAAAAATACTTAGGATGAAGAACAGTAAGTGAAAAAACTGCCTCAGCGACTTTACATTTAAACTATCCTTATTCATGCAGCTTTGACTGTAAAGTGCATACTCTGCATTCGGTTTATAAAAACCCACACATGTTAAAAGAATGAGTGAATTGTGCATACCACAGGTAGGACATGAAAACCAGCATTACTTAGGAACACATGCATATGTTCATGTCTGATGGCTGAAGATCAAAACTGGATATTGTAGTAACCTTTCCATACGAATCATTAACTGCATGCTACTAAAGATGCCAGGTCTCTACTCTCCAACAGAATTCCAAAGAAGATCAATAATCCTATTGGAGTAACTGTACTGGCTTCAGCTGCCAATGAAGATGCTGTTTAGGTTTTGTTGCAGTATTAGAAGTGGTTCTACTTTCATTAGAAGTAGTTACCTACAAGAAAAGAACTACAGCCTTGTTCTCGTTTTCCCTTTTTTGCCCTTTTCATCAGTCAAAGGTGATGGGTTAAAAATTTCCTTATATATATATATATAAAAAAAAAAAAAAAAAAAAAAAAAGCAGTTTCGAAGAACTCTAGGTGCTTCCGTGTTCAAATGCTGCCATCAAGTGGAAATACATAGAATCGTACAATCCTTAGAGGCGGAAGGGTCCTCTGGAGACCATCTAGTCCAATCCCCTGCAATGAATAGGGACACCGCAGCTAGATCAGGTTGCCCAGGACCTGATCCAGCCTCACCTTGAAAGTCTACAGGGACGAGGTATCAACCACATCACTAGGCAACCTGTTCTAGTGCCTCACCACTCACTGTACACACTTCAGTGTAGTAGAAGGTGACAAATAATAGCAAGGCCATTGTTTTAAAAAATTAGGTGAACCAGACTAAAAGAATAAAACAGTATATTTGTTGCAAGTTATTAGGCAAATTATAAAAACATTTTTTATAATCTAAACTTCTTCTATTTAACTTCCTTAAATCTGAAATTTTTCTATAGTATTGCTCCACATCCCCAAAAATTGTCTGTATCACTAAGGATAAGGACTAGAAAATGTTTTGCATTCCTGTGAACTTGTCTGAATTCCTGACACTGATATGAACTGCAGAGGTAAAGAAGTAAAGCAGAAAGAAAAATTATTTTTTGTGATTTGGAAATTTAATGCTTTTCTTTAAATCCCAAAGCAATAGTTCAGTATTTCATTCTCAAATACAAACACGTCTTTATAAAATGTCTTGTTCCCCATCTTGCAAAGATTTGAAAGAACCATATCCTCATTTTCTTCAAGAAATTTAGGAAGAAAATTCAAAATACTTGGTGTTAGAATGGTGGAATCTATCTGGTCTTTAATGTCTTTTATGGCTTCAGAGATGCAGCAAAGCTGAGTAGTATTCATGAGCCTTAAGTGCTGACTCCAATCTGGGTTGAGTAACCACAGACGTCTTCTCTCAAGGCTCCTCTTCTTTCACCTAAGCCAGGCACTATTGGATATTTTCCTAGGCTGTGTGACAATCAGGAATGCAAAATTTGTCCATGGCTCATTCACAAGAAATGCATAGCAAATGAGATGTGTTTTGGAAAATCAACAGTGCATGCACAGTACGTGTGCAATAATTTAGTGTGCTCTGGATGCACATACACATCGTTCTGCCAGAAAAGGAAAAAAAGAAACAAAACAGCTAAAGCAGGGAGTCCTGTAACAGCAAAAATTGTTTTGCCTTTAAGACTGTGATGGTAAATAAACTTTGCCAAGGCACAGACAAATTTAAGAACTTGGAGAGGGAAGGACAGAGTTATGAAAACTATCTGACTCAAGCAAGGCAATCAGCATCACTGTCTTTGGTGATGGTTTGTATATATTCCCCACAGCCAAGTCATTAACACTTCTTCACTCTCAAAATCTGAAAGTCTGTTTTAAGAAAGAATACTATGGGCTATCTGGATCTAAATAACTATTTGAAAAGTGAGTTGATGCTGTTGGCCAAGAAGAGCAGACCAACTGAACTCTTGTTAAGATTTATCTATGGCAGATTGTGTAGCACTTTCAAATAGAATCCTTATTAATCAAAAGCAATGCTTACATTATTGGGTTATGAACAGGTAATCAAGAACAGCAATAAAATGGTAAGCTACATGTACTCTCCACAAGTGTGGCTTGTCCAGAGTTTGGTAATTGCTATTTCCTATGTTCTACTTTTACAGTAGCCAGACTTCTTCGCCACAACATGAGACAAAGAGATAAAACAATCAACCAACAAGCAACAAAGCCTTCCCACACCCTGGATGTAAAACCTTTGTGGAAGATTCATGGATCTTTTATTGTTAATATAGCAGAAACAGAGGTTAAAATTTCACAAAAGGGACCAAATAAAAATACTATTTAATATATTCTGCTATACTTTGGGGAGAATAGAGAATTACTGACTTTAACTGGTAAGTGAGAAGTATCCCACTGTCTCAACCTACATCTCAGGTTAGTTGTCTTTTTTTTTTTTTTTTTTTTTTTTGGTCACTAATAAGGCAGAGGTGGGGTTTGAGGCTCAGAGAGATCACTGCTTGACTACAAAAAGCATTATAGGTCAGCACCTCTGGTAATGGTCACCATAGATACATTATTCTCTCATTAATAACAAATATATAGAAAAAAAATTGAAGAGATATCTGCATATTTTGTCTTTGTATCAGTGTTTTCACAAATTGTTTATTTAGAATTCTTGCTTTGGAGACTTCCTGGATCTTATTGCTTCATATACTGTAGCTTTTTCAAATATAAGTCTTCCTTAGCACTCTAGCACTCTCTCTCTTATGTTATGATCAGGAATTAGAGCCATTCACTACACTACCAACACACAACAGACTTCCATACATACGTTTATCTTCCCTGTTCCAGAAAGGAATTAAAGACAGCTATAATTTTTTTCCAACCTTTCATGTTCAAGTTAATATTTGTCCTCTTTTGAGAATGTATTAGGACAATAGCAGCCTCATATACTTCTTCATTGCCAACAACAGAAAGGATGCTAAGAGCTGAAATCTGTTTTTAACATGGTGAGTTACTGGCCTCAACTTCAAAGAGGATCTCCTGTCTATATATAAAGAAGTACACTGTGCTGGAGGAGCTGCCAACTAGGTTACTGTGGCCAAAAAATCTTGTGACAGTTTATAAACATGAATTACTATAATTTCCTGCTGTCCGTAACAGGCTTAGTTACTTGGAGCCTTGCTGTAGTTTGTAGCAAAGTGAGTTATAAGGGCCATGATGTAGCCCTTGCAGGCAGGGAGGGGAGAGGTACACAGCTGCATGGCTAACAGCTATGGCAACCTTAGTCCCTGCAGAGGTGGCACAAGAACACCAGTAAGGGAAAGTTAAACCCAAGCTAAAATGAGGAAAAATAATCTATTCCCTTCACAATGGGAGGCACTGCCATGGTACCATAACTTCATACAAATACACACCATCATTCACTGAGTAAATTCTGTCTCCCTGGATGATTTTACCAAAGACTTCACTGTCCAGCTTCTTCTGTACAGTTTGTAGTTTTAAGCAAAGACAGCTTTTAAATGATTTTTAAAGGGTAGATATACTTCAGCTATGCCTCTTCTACTGCTTCACTAGATTTAGAGAGGTGCAGGAAACTGAGAGTGTCCCTCTTTTGATGTATCTGGAATTCAATCACAGATTCCTAGACAATATCTGTTTTAATTGATTTGGTCAATACTTTCCACAGAACCATCTCAACACTTACTTTGATGCTGGAATGCTATAATAGGACAATAACAGCAGGGTGACAAAGTCTTTGGCTACAGCAAATAAGAACAAGCTCAAATACAGCAGCTACTGAAACAAAAGAAAAGAGCTGCTTACCTTTGGAAGACCTTGGATAGGCAGAAATCTCCAGCAGGAGATGCCCTCACCTCCACTGCCAAGCCTTAAATGAGGTCTGGGAAAGGATGGATCCTGGCTCCACCCCTTCCAATCACTCAGAGCATTGCATGCATCTGAGCTCCCCTGGGTTAGCCCTGCCTTCCTACCAGGTGTTCAATCACTGTTTCAGGCCATGACTCAGCATTTCCACCAGAGATGTTATCACTAATCTTTGCACTCTGCAATACTATGATATGCACAGATATTAACAACAATACAGCTCTATAACAGTAGCACTTAAGAGAAATATCAACAACAAAAAAGCCCTGGGGCAATGACTTGTATCTACATTAAGGCTTTTTAAAAACATGTATCTCTCTCTCTGCATATATATACGTTTATATTAATAATCATATAATCATACGTGTGCATGAAAGTTGCTTGAACAGCTCTTAACGGATGTGGGAATAGCCTCGTAATCAGACAGCTTAGAGGAAGATGCTAAGTATTCCTACCTAGAGTGGTTGGAGGAGGAAATTGTTAACAATATTTGTTTGCATGTTTGTTTTTTAAAATTGCAAGAACCAGGCTATCAGGAAGGAGGCAAATCTGTGAGACGAGGTGTTCCTAAGGTGCAGCATGCCTTCACCAGTGGTGCAGACCCTATGGGACTAAACAAATCTGTGCCTGTGAGTGAGCCCATTGGCAGTCCCAGACACAGCAAAAGAAGACAGGACTGGAGTACAGGTCTACAGTCCATACAAGAGATGAATCTGGATAAAACAAACCTGAATAAAATCTACAACATAGTGCAGGGTGTTGATCTAACTGATCATCTGAGGTCCAGCCAGAATGTGTAGATAGAAAACAGCATATCTACATCATAGCTCAAATCAGGACTGATAACTTTGGGCTGAGTTGAAATAGGATTTAGATGAGTGGGGGTCCAGGTGAGACTGATTAGGGATGCTAAGACCTATTAGCTCCCTCAAGCCCCTGAAAATGCTGTGATTTTTATCAGCCTTTATCCAGGTGATGTTTTTGAGTCTTTTCAAATCTTGTCTGCTCTTTGAAATATGGCAGAGAAAATACAGATTTGAAAAACTTAAAACTTAAAAAGTGCCCTTTTTCATAATATCATAGAATGGCTAGGTTGGAAGGGACTTTAAAACCACTCAGTTTCCACCCCCAGCCATGAGCTGGTTGCTCTGTTCAGATGGGGTGAGGCACCCACAGCTCTTTGGGCAGCAGTGCCAGGGTCTCACTGTCCTCTGAATTAAGAATTTTTACCTAACATCTAACTCAAATCTCTCCTTTTATTTTAAATCATTCCTCCTCACCCTGTCACTATCAGACCATGAAAAAGTTGGCCTTTGTCTTGTTTTCAGGTGATTTCAGTGTGATTTTATGAGAAATCATGACACACACTACCCTTTTCATTTCTGACCATAATATGAGCATGAATAATATTTGGCAGACTTCCTTGAGAAGTAATTATGGAAAAGCCAGAATCACATCCTTTGCATTTTGACCAGGTCTCTAAACAGAAGGTTTGACCAGATATGTTAAATGCCTTTTTAGTATTCTAGTAGATACACAATTTACTGAGGCAGCATCTGAACTGACAGAGGCCTGTAACCTGAAATTATAAACACACAGATTCCAAAGAAAGAGTAACAAATTTTGGAAGTTGTATAATCAGCAAAACTAACTGGATAGGTGAGACATCATTGTGAGTTTGCTCCTGCTGATACCAATTGCTAACATATTTATCACAGATAGAAGGATTAGGCAGGGGGCACTTATGATGAATTGGTTGAAATATAACATTTACAAATAAAAAATTAAACAAGTATAGCCCTTATATGTTGTTTATTAGAAAAAAAAACCAACAAATCAAAACAACAAAAACCACATCACTGAGTAATTTACAGGTACCATATTTGTCAAATAAACTATGTACTAATCAAGAAAGCTGCAGAACACTTCCAGTGGTAAATTTTACCTTTTATTTTACAAAAAATAGCTGCCTTGAAGATTCCCTGGTCTTTAGTTCTTTTTTTTTTTTTTAGATTTACTTTGGGGAATGAAAAATCCTTTGCAATACAGATACGTTACATTTGTCTTCATTACCATCCAGCACAAGCTACAGCAAATGCACTCACAGATCCTGAGGCCAACCACAGTTAATAAGTTCAATTTATTTTACATATAATTATGAAATGTTTCAATTTGGTAGCAAGCTTTCCAAGGGGCTAGATGGCAGTGTAGTTCTTGGTGTAATTCGTCAATTTGATTTTCTCTGGGAAAATAATATTAACAGAAAGGTTTTCCCCATTACTAGACTTCAGAAGAAAGTTCTTTTTCTTGCGCAGGAGATGACTATATTTGGCATTAGCCAACCACATTTCACATTTTGAAAAAAATACAATCCCAGTTGTACCCAAAACTACAAGACATGTAAGTAATCCCAGTACAACAAAACATATCACTTGGCTTTTACTGAGCAAGGGATCTGCATTTTGGATTGTTTCTTTCACTGTTATTTTCAGGATTTCATGTTCTTGATGCACTGATCTGTGATGAGCTTTTGGTGAAAGCTTGTAATTCTGCATGTTCTTTGTGCCAATATTCACTGCAGAAAGGCTTGTATTTTTGCTGGCATATTTGCAGGTGGCACCAACAAATTCTGTCTTACAGATGCATTTGAATCCTCCCTGTGGATGTTCTTTGCATGTTCCTCCATTCACACATGGGTCACTTGCACAGAATGTGACACGGCTGCTGCAGAGTTTTCCTGTATAACCATGGGCACATAAACAGCTGAAACCTGCACCAATATCTGTACACGTTCCTCCATTTTCACACGGGTTGGATTCACAGTCATCCCTATCTATTTCACAGAAGTTGCCAGCAAAACCAGAAGGGCACAAACAGGAAGCATGGGGTGCAAAACCATTGTCATCAATGCATGTTCCTCCATTCTGGCAGGGAGAGCTGGAAGAGAGAACAAACACATACATATATAGAACTCAATAAAATTCTAAAGAAAGAAGCTATTAGGAAACACTTTGTGTAATAAGAGAAGCTGGTTCTCTTCAGAAGAGCCAAATCCTAATGTAAATTCACTGAAGTCAATGAACTTGAATCAAGAATGAGTTACTAAAGAGCTCTGTCAATGCAGATTGTAGTATCTTCTGCTGACCTCTCAGGCAGAATTAATACAGCAATATATAAATCCAACCTGAAGAGTTGTGAATGGATTTTAATTTATTCCAAGCGTTTATCCAAATTAAGCTTCCCAATGTTTTCATAAGCTTACAGCTACTTAGCTGAGTAACTATCTAGACAAGGCTGAACCAATAGACTAGCAGAAAGGCTTTCTCCACCTGATTGCATATAATCTGTGCATTGTATTGGCAAAGCAAAACACTTTAATGGCAGCACAGTGATTGTTTTTATTCTGCTTCTATTGTGCTCCATGACAAAAAAGCTAGAGGTGAATAGGTACAGTTTCTACAAA